TTAAATACTTCAAGCAAGTGCACTCGTGCAGGTGAATCCCTGATGAGTGTTGACTACTTGGTTTTCGAAGGTTTTGGAATATCTATCTCTGAATTACCATCATCATTTTTATTTTCTTTAAAATCCGTACCAAACAAACAATTTATTAGAGACATGATGCGAACTTGAGAGAAGCGATTGTTTCCTCAGGTGTAGCGAACACGTATCATTCTTAAGAAACGAACGATACAGAAAAAACCTTTTTTGTTATTTAAGGTGGCATCAACTTCTAGGTCATCAGCGACCACTATTGCTTGTAACGGTATGGTAACAGTGAGGAGGACACGATATGATGATGATAGAGGGTGAAACAACGAACACAATACAGCCATGCCCGAGGCGGGACTCGAACCCGCGATCCTTCGGATCGAGATCGCTACGACACTACTGCCTTAGCGATCTCGGCCACCGGATCGGCAAACTTTTTTTTGTGAACGTTTACTTCAAGAAAAAAGTCGCAAAGTCGGAATATAAGTTCTATACATCGAAATAATATTCGATAAAAAGAAATCACCAAAAATAAAATTCTATAAAATAATATTATTTAAAAAAGAGCGGTTTACTTAAAAATGATACGTAACGAGTTACACTTCGTATCCAGGGCAACAACAACATCCTCGCCAACAAAACTAACTTGTATCCGTTTTATGTACACACATGTGTATTTATATAACATGTTTCGAGTGAAAAAAAATCGGGGCTGTAATGAAGTCTGAGTCTGCAGCAAGTTGCACCAGCTGCCCCCTTCTTGGCGCCACTGATCGTATCCTCTGATACAATATGGCTCATATGTCCTCCAAGAAATTTTCCGCGAAAGAAAGAGTGCAGGAACGATCTGCCTGTGGTGACCAGACTTATAGGACCCTAAAGAATCGAATATGATGCAAGAATTGATTACATTTTTGACATATTTCCAGTCTGTTTACAGCTTTTAAATAACTATAAACGTAATTTTAAGTTAGCTGAAGTTAAGGTATTTTTGCAAAATCCTTTCCATATATTTGGGCTATATCGAGGTCGTTGGTGTAAAGTATTAACAATTGTCACCTAAACAACGATATATCTTCGTGTGAAAACAGTAATTGATGAAGTTCTGATGGTCATTAGACATATTATGAAACTTGTATGCATGCATTCGTGTTTATGAATAGCCGATGAAAATGCTCCCCTCCTTGACATAGAAAATAGTCTCCAAAACGTTGAAAACAATACTTAACAGATATGGTTTTGACGTCTCGATGTGTTCGCATATACCAATAGATTGTGTCAGAAGTTAGGAAGGATCTTTCGACGTGTTCCAACCTGTGAAATATAGTATGTATTTACAAAGATTAAATCTAGTACGGAATATTGCTTCCTCGTGGAAACAAAATATCTAATTTTTTGTTTCACAACAATGGAAGAATATGAATTATAAAGATTGATTAGTATTTAACAAGCTTCCAATTCATTAACTTGCTTATTACATCGCGATAAACCGAGGTCAGATTGTGCATGGCGTATTCACTTTACGTCTTTGTAATAATGACACAATAGAAACAAATTGAGTTAATAAAATTACTTCTATGTTCTTTGGATATTCCGCTCTGTAGGAATAACCGAAAACTATTGTTGCTGGAGAAAATTGAAACGAGACGCTACAGGGTGACTAATATTTTAATAGTGATTTGTTCAAGACTTAATTTTAACATTTTTACTTTTTCGTACAAATGATGTTATTAATTTACAACATACAGAATTATTTCCCACATAATTGTACTAAAGTAGTATATGATTGTCTCTAAGAATTTTCAAAGATCGACATTCACAGAAGCGTGGGCACTAATCCTCTCTATAGAATTTGGGTATAAAGAATTTAAAATAGAATCAATGTATGTTATTGATTGACAAAACTTCAATTGATTTTTATTGAAAATAAGGTATGTGCTATAACTAAATTTGCAATATGGTTATAGTAAATTATGAAACTAAAATTAATATAGAGTTACGTAAATAAACTTCTTGCCTCTCTCCAAGCAAAAACCAACCCCTATTACAAATGCTAATTACTTGCAAGTACATGAGCAATATTTTTATTGAAAATTTTTTATAAAATAGTGCTCAATAATGTGGCTTAGGTTTTATTATCGCTTAGCATCAAACTCGAATGTCCAAGATTGAAAGATTTTCCAGACTTCAATTACATCGTCAGCCGTTGGGATAATTGATGTTTTCGTCTTTGTTTCTCTAAAAGTTACTCTCGTAACTGTCTAAATGTTATTTTCATCCATGAAGATTCTCATTTATATTTATTTTTGTAATTAATGTTAGAATTATATAACGTATCAGTAGAAAAGATCACATCGTCAATGTTCAAGAATAACAACGTCTCTAAAAGTCGCATTTGCTCATCGGAGGCAGTTGTTTATTTTGCGGCCTAAGTCAAAGAGGCTGAATAGCGGATGTCTTGTTCAATTCTGCATCGAAGACTTTTACTGTGTATAAAATATACTATTTTATAAACGTGAGAATTAATACTTTCAAGAAGTCACAAGGACGGGGACTTAGTCGACAACGCTCCCACTTGCTATCATTCTGTTGGTGGTAGCTCAGCAGCAGCACTGTTGTCTGCTGGTTGATTGGGACACCCTAGGGTTAATGATTCCCGCTGCGGATGTTAACATTGGCTACGTTGCTAGATCGAATTGAACCACTGTCTGCAGGGCAGTTTTGGGCGCCAGATGCTCTAATCGGTAGTTTTCCGTTGTTTCTCCGAACAATACCAGCCGAAAACGCAAGCTTAACACATTGACCTGGCGCGATCTTTTCCTCCCCATATACCATCACCTTATACACAAACACACAAACACACACACACACACTTGCGTGCACGTCACTACCCAACATTTCGAGAGTTGGGGGTTCGTCCGTGCTGGGATAGTACCACGCTGGGCGAGGAGGGAATTCCCCACAAGCAGACTTGTAGGTCAGTGCCATATCTCACATTCCAGCGGGAGTGGAAAACTTCCACCTCCCGGATTATCACTTCCACTGCACTTACGGGTCCAATGGTCTAAGTAGTCCGGAATCATTTCCCCCTCCCCGTTGCTGTCATCAGCAGAGGCCCTCCACGGACGCTGTTCGCCCGAATGCCCGATGGCCCGCGCAGAGGCGCTTCGCATTCGAGGTGAATGCGCCCAAGGGCGTCCGCTTCTGGACTTGGGACTTGGTCGCGCCTCCGCCTCTAACAGCGCTAACGAACTACACTCGTTTGACAGAGGAGACGCTCGCGTCATGGATGCACGAAAGGCACCTGCCTTCTCGCTCTGTAGGCAAACTAAACTAGCCCTCTCTAAATTTTTAAATAATCAGAGGTGACGTTACCGCGTTTTTAAGAATCTTGATTTATGATTGTGCAAACCATCGCGCATAACATCACTAGATATTTGAATGGGTAAACTCAATGTGATACTTGTACAAAACCTGCTAATTTCACACATTAATCAATTTTTTCATTCATACTGCGTCTAATCTTGGAAAGACACGTCTTGTACTTTTTGTTGTTAATAATTTACATGTCTTTTACCTACAAAATTTAAGTAGACTAGAAATTTTACTTTTTCTGTTCTTTTATTAAGGATATGTCCGATAATACGAGTAGTTATTAAAAGAAAGTTTGAAACGGGCATTATAATGGAACTAGACTCTGAGGTGTTGCCTCACTAGGAGGTAGCGGGAAGTTATTTTTAATTTTTTCTTCATAATCGTCAACTAGACTAATTTTATTTGTTGGGATAACAATGACTACCGTTTGTTTAGTTGATTTGAGGTTAGTATCACATTGTAAAAATGTTACGGTTAACGTTTATAACAAATGTTCGTAGTTATGTTTAATTGGTTGTGTCAAACATTGCAACATTTTTCAGTTTGTAACTACATATATGTATAATAAATGTGTCTCGTTCAATTAAAAAAATAATTAACATTCTATTACTGGATAAAAAATCTATAAAAAATACGTGTTTAACCACGGAACTCATAGTATCTCGAATGTGAGCGCTATTCAAATGTTAGGTTTTTGTCTATACCACTCGTATGAAATATGAATGAACCTGCTCTTTTCTAATAGTAGTAGTGTGTACACAGCTTTTCAATATCGTTTGAAATATTGGATACGAAAATAGTCTCACGACACCTGCTTGATAATAATTAACGTTTTGTCATTAGATATCGTGCAGTAAGACGATTGTCTTTGCTGTGAGAGACGCATTACTTGAATGTCATTACGGTGCATCACTAAAAGTTAATAGGTATTTATGTTCGTTTACGTGCGTCTTCAGTCATTTCACATTCGTTTGGTTATTCTTCAATTTAAAGTACACATTTTACGCCGAGTTTTAAAAAGGGATTTTGTTTAAGAAATAAAGAGGTTGTGCTTGCTGACTTTGGTCACAGTGGCTTGACAAGTCACGAAAAAATTCATTTAGAACAAAATAAGCTTGACCAAATAGATGGAATAGCAATACCAAATAAGAATTTTGACAATTTCCATGTGATATAGTATTATTTTTTTTAAACGCAACGTGTTTTCAAAGAAAATGGAAGTAAACCCCCAAAGGAAAATCAGATACGTTTGTATTAATTAAATATTCATAAAATAATATTTTGGCTTCAACATAAGCTTATTCTTCTCTAATGCTTCGTGAATGATTTCTGCGGTCGTTGAAGGGGAATTAGAGGAAATTTAATTGTAACTTACACATTGCAGCTAGCTCAGCTATTGGACAATTCTACAGAATTTCAAAAAATAACACTTTCATTGGAAACAAAACTCGCAAGAACCGTTACAAAAACCAGCCAATCTCTCACTACCATTTTTTCTCGGTGATTGTTTTGACGAGTTATCAAACGTGCGAGTCCATTCTGAAAAGAATATACACAAAACACGAACTCGCTAGCACTGAGAAAACTTGTACACTTACACCACTTCCTGAGAAAGCTGCTGGTGAACTTCTTGAAGAGCCGTTGCCGGTGCATGGTGTCGGCCTAGAAGAATCCTTGCGGGGATCGAGAACACTAGGGGCCTGTGGGGATGGGGTGAGGGGAGGTGAGGTGAGGTGAGCTTCGAATCTGCGAACCGGGAGGGCTCCTCACCACATCCTGGGAGCGCTCCGCGTAGCCACTAGTTGCGCCGACCGCCACAGACCGCTCGCGCACTCCGCCTCTCGCTGCAACGTCCACGCGACTGTCAGCGGAGGCCACCGCGGCCGCGGCCGCCGCCGCCGCCGCCTAACCCCCCGCCCTTCCGCGGCCGCCACCGCCGCCGCCACAACCGTCGCCGCGCCCCACCGCGCCGCGCCGCCCCGCCCGCACGGCTCCGCGTCCCGCGTTTGTCAGAGGAAGCAGCGGCCAATGAATGGGCGCGGGCAGGTTCGTTTGATGACGCTGCCGAACGCTCTACGAATGACGCGGCCCGCAGATTTCGTGTGGCGGATGACGAGCTGGCTGACGGGCATTGACGATCCTCTTACTGTTTCATCAAGGCCAGCGCCTAAAAGAGCCGACCGTGAAACAGCGCCTCATAACTAAATATACTAGAAAGATCAAGGACGACCAAACATTCGTTTTCGACACGGAGCACAATCACTCCTGATTGTATGCTCTTCAAAACTTAAATTACTTTTGAGTTACATGATGTTCAAATGGCTAGTGTACTGACTAAATTTAATTATGCATGGTTCAGTCGTATTTACTCTTGTAATCTGCGAACTGAAAATACAATTTTAACCTATTGTATTTACTATTATTATATTAACAAGTAACAACGCAAATCTAATAATATCAAATATGCATGCTAAATATGACGAGAAACAATAATCATAAGCTGAGAATTTGCTTAGTCAGATACGGAAGTATAAAATATTATTAAAGGATGCTGATCTAATGGCTTCTATTTACGTAGAGCCTGTGTAAAATTAAATTAATAACTGTTCGATCTATAAAAGTAAAAGGTTGACGTATTAACAAATGGCTACATATCTTCGTAACGACTTGCGTATAATGCGAAAAAGGAATACTAAATGAGAGAAATCAAGGCCAATAGTTAAAATGATAAAAGATTATCAATGGCGAGAGATACGAGATGAAAACTGCACTACGAGTGAAGACAAAGAGCTCTTAACGTGAAACACATTAATCTCACGGCATAAGAAATAATTTGTATAGTTGGGTAGTTCTCATATTCGAACACTTCATGAAATATTAGAAATGCCTGGCTTCCACCTACGGCTTAATACAAAAGAATGGCGCGCAACTGTGAGTCCTTATGTCCCCTGACTCACTCGTGCTATCCACAATATGACGCGGGTGCGCTGGTTGCCTATTCTAGCCACAGAAGAGGCACGTGTATGGCCATGTAAATATTCATTTAACGTGTTCAGTGCTGCGACGTGCATGCAGTCAGGATTCTCTAAACGTTACAGGGAAACCCGGGAAAGTCTAGAAAAAACACACCAAGTCTCACTAGGTCTACATATAAAATAAAAGTAAATTAATTCAACAGAACTGAAATTAAAGCATTTAACTCGTGCTTTATATAGTCTTTTGACACAAAGAAAAGCTTGGTAAGAATTCACTTAAACACCGAATGTTTATAAATAGTTTTCATTGTGTTCGATATTCAGTTCAAATAAACTGTGACTTCATCACAGATAAGGTTTCAATTAGTTTCAAAGTAAACCAGGCATTTGAAACAAGATAAGTAAATTGCTAGTATGAATCATGGCGATTTTTTTTTTCTGATTTAAACAAATCATTTCTGTACAATAAAGAAAGCGCGGAAAACAAGTTAAAGCCACACTCGTTATCAGACCCGCATTGGCCATCACAAGTACGTATATTAAAAATACATTAATCGTATTCAAACTTATGAGTTCAACGTAACTATCATGGGGCGTCATGAATAAATGACGGTTTGGTTTTCACTCTTAGCCGTACGAACTTTTAAAGGCTGGAAAACAAAAGATAATTTTTACCACTTGTTTTTTCGATCCATATTAATGCTAAAACCAATTTGGACGACTGTGATACAAAGTAACATCATGAGCGAATCGCGACAAAGGCGTCCAAATAACAAATGCAACTATCGACAAGTATTTGCGAGAATTCGCATGAATTGAGAAGACATCGAAAAGACGCTGGATTGCCTCGCGGGCAAACAAATGACCCGCCCCCTTCCGTTGGCGGCCTCTGCAGCATAAGGTCACATCACATTTGCATGCGAAATTCTCTTCTTGCACTTTGGTATTAGAACTGCAAATTAACGATGTGACATGCACCGAAAACGTGACTAGATCTGTCAATGAAGATGGGACTCTTTAATAATAGTTTTAAGCGTCGAATGCAACGTCAATTCACTTGTGTTAATAAGTTCTCGTTTGAAGCGTTGTGTTCTTGCGTATTCGTCACACGTGTTATTTTTTTTCCAACGATTGTATGGGGAGAGAAGTATATTTGTCTTTTTGCGTAAGTGAAATGATGAGACGAGTGTAATGTTAGATGTTTGAGTCCTTTAGACCTACTCGACTTGCTATTCCGAAGAAGGAAAACTATTGAGGAGGTGTGCTATTTCATTTTGACCTTGTATCTACAATTACAAAAACGTTTGGACAAATAGATATCAAAGCAAGAAATCATTCAGCCCTATTTCTCACATTTAGCTCTGAGGGACTCTGAAAAATACTGGAAGGAAAACAAAAGGCTGGGTTTAGAGAGTAGATATTATATAGATATTGTGGTGAGTTATCGTTGGCATTTCTAATGAATAAATGACGACGCATATACATATTTCTTTAGAGAGTAGAAATATAATTAACTAACACGTACATTACATGAAAATGTGAATTGCTTGAAAGTTAAATAAAATACAATTGAATTATGTATGTTAATTTTCTATCTATTCAATATTTTCTTCCGTGCGGGATAAAGAAGTTTCGCAACCGAAAACGCCCCACGCATCATTCCATGCGCACGAACGAGAGTTGTTAATAAGAAGTGTGTCTTCGCAGGCATTGGAGCCCGGCGAAAAGGGCCCGGGGCCCGAGAGAATTCTCGGCCGGGCGGGCGGGCTGGCGGGCGGGCGCGCCGCCGTGCGTGGTGGGAGCGCGCAGTCTGCGACACGCAGTGCGATGGCGCGCGGCCGGACGGGCGGGCGGGCGGAGCGGAGCGGGGCGGAGCGGGCGGCCTTGGCGTTCTGGAACATTCCGCACCCGGGCAGCGCCCGCCCCGCGCCGACTCGCCCCAACAGCCTCCCAGCGCCTGGCTTCCCCGCGGCCCGCGCCTCGCGGGTGACGACGCGACGACCCGCGGAGATGCGTGCGGGACAAAGAGGAGCGATTGAAGCACTCCTTTTGTCGACGCGCCACGGCTTTCGGTATTCGTCACTTATGATCCCCGGCGAAACTAATTGCGTGTGATAAATGGACGATTTTCAACCATCCCGCTCTTTCTGCAGTTGTTCGTATGTAGTGATTACACACCCCTTCAGCAACTACAATCAACTTCACAGTCGATATTATGTTATTTAGGCAGACGAAACCTCGATGTTAAGTTCTGTGTATTAGGAAAAGTAATTTTTTTTGTAAAAGTACAACAATGCCGCCTATAAGGATTTCGTGCCAACGTCATATATGCCTGAGAAAATTTGTCACTGCGCACGGCAACTATTTAGAAAATACAGTACATATACAATGTGCGTAAACTGAGGTATTCAAATAGGTTCTACGCCACAAAAGATCCTTTCTTTTTCCCTCACTGCACCTGATCTCACACGTAGAATTTCTCCGTGCGTGCGCAAGTAGTTCAAGGTACGTGCAATGTGAGCAGTTTCTCTCGAGAAATGAACTAAGATGAAATAGTTAAAAAATAAACCGAATTCATTACATAGCTGAATTCAATAAACTGTCATGGTATTACCACGGCTGTTTACTATCGTGATATTTAAGACATTCGATTATTTAAATTTGATCATCAGTGTAAATGTATCATGCCTGACTTGTTTCTATTACCGATAATAGTATCGAACACTGTTAGGCTCATCATATTATGAAATCGTCGAACGTAATGTAATCGGGGAGGCAAAAACGTCAAACAAAGCATAACAACAAACTTGTCATCCATGACAGCATAATTATCTGTGTTTAGAGAAGTGTGACCTTGACGTGTAATCGCAGTCGTATGGATCTAGGAAATGCAGTAACGCTGCTTTTAGAAACGGCGAGCGAATGTTATTTACAGGAAACAAACGTTTCTAGAATGCGCTTGTTGATAGAATAAAATAGCCACAAAATGTCCATGAGAGGTTGGTCTCTATAATTCGCTTTGGCACAGCCGCTGCATTACATCAGTTAACGTATTCAAAAATATGGTAATAATATATAATAAGTAGTCTACTTCGAGTCTAGCATCTCACATTTAAAAGTAGAGGGCTTATCATAAGTAGCTGAAAGAGTATATTATTATTATTATTATTATTATTATTATTATTATTATTATTATTATTATTATTATTATTAATAATACACACGTCTTTGGCACGTTTTGTTATTGCAATATATTCACAATAAAAATCCTATTGTGAGTAAAAGAATATGAAAAATCATCAAAAATTCCATTACGTGTGATGTAACCGATTACATCACTAAACAACGACGAAATCACTAAACTAGCTGGGAAAATTAATAAGTTCATCATATAAAAATCACAGTGTAGGAGAGAACTCACATATGACGTAGGAGAGAATTTATAAACATGTATGTAGGAAGTAAACGCAATGAAAAGAACTCCTTGTGACGATGCAAGAATCACAACGCGTTAAAACAATTTGTAATGTTCCGCCGTCCCAAGAGCAAAGATCGTGTCGCTCATTGGGTAGCCGTGGACCATGGCTCGCAAAACACTCTTGAAAGGGAGATGGTGTTCATTCGTCCTTTTGCGCCTCTCCTTGGGCTACCTTGCAAGGCCACCGCCGGCCGTGGAGACTCCGACGCCCGGACGAGCGAAGAACCCGGATGCGCCATCACGTCACGCGGTTCCTCTTGACCTTGACACTCCACGATTTTCATTTTTATTCTTTATCGATTTTCACTTGTTCCTGGATTTTCTGTCTTCCAATATTTCTCAGTCTCTCTGATCTCTCAAATATCGCTCTTTCCACTAAGATTAATCGAACCACTTCTTTATCTATAACGTCATTATGTATCACCACGGAAATTAGAAACATCCAAAGCCTTTTTTTTTTACTTTTAAACTTAGGCTTCATTAATGATAGAAATCATACCTTTTTACTAATCAATGTATTTCCCTTATAATACCCCAGAAATACGAGTTTAGTTTTGAAATTAGTTGACTATCGCCTAAAAGAAGACCCTATAAAACACTTCGTATGAACGAAGTCGTAGGCTTCCGCGGCCAGAGTCATGTGCATGATCTTGGCTGTCCGGGTGACGCCGCGTCGAAGGCTGTGTCGAGGGCAACAGGCTTCGACGCGGCGTCACCCGGACAGCCTAGATCATGCCCTTCGTGGGAACGTCTTCTCATTTAGAATATTGCGTTGTGTATTTTCTACGGTTTAGAAACAGGTTGTATCATGGCTCTCAAAACATTTTCAACAAGACGGAGCCCTCGATCTCGTATGGACCCAATATGTTTTCACAATAACTGAGAAGCGCAATGTTTAAGCAACTCGAAAGTGCCTTCTGTGATGTAAACCTTTTCTTCGCCATCACTTTTCCATTGCAAAGCACTCAGTAGATGAGTAAGGCTTGCTTGTGCACTTTCGAGAGCAGATTTATTCATTTTATTTTTGCTTTTTAATTCTGATTAAGTTCGAAATAAAAGTATGTGAATTTGGAAACTGGAATTTTTTCGATCTATGATCAAGATGCCATAGATTTGTTAAATTTCAGTTGCAGTGTTTAACTCTTTGATTTCTATATTCTGAGAAGCATGCTTTAACTTTCCATTACTCGTATTTACACTCGCACGCGATCGAGCTACGAAAGCGTCTTTTATATTCCTTAATTTATTTAGCATCTCTCTGTGATATTTTCCCAACACTGATCACGGAAGTCTAGCAAAATTTTTTCAAATAATTTTGCCCTAACACATTCATACAGCAGTGGCTTCGTGGAGTGTCATGAAAAAAAGAATACGCATACTTCTCACGATGTTGTCAAACGGCTTAACGCCTTGACCAACGTCTTAGCACTTACAAAATGGTATGTGGAGAATGACAAGAAACATGTTTTCGAGATGACTGGCCCAAAAGTTTCTTTTCTTTTATGCAGTAGAGAATTTACAAAGGAATAAACTATGTGTACCCGAAAAAAATTGCAGCTGTTTCATGACTTGAAGGTGGGGTATAAGCTTCAAAATTTTGAAAATACCCTTAAATGAAAAAGAAAATTCAAAGAATCCTAATTCTCTCTATTCAGTAAAAACGTTTTATTAGGGGCCATTTGTACTATTGAACCTAACTAGACCCTTTTCAGGTTATCATGAAATCAAAATGAGGTCGATTAGAATTAATATTTAAAAAAACTAAAGATTTAAGAAAATACAGCTTCAAGCACAGTTTATATATCTGAAATGATTAGCCTAAAAAGAAGATATGTAGCCACGCTTTCGGTCAAAATAAAACTAGCGATATATAAGCCTATATTAAATATATAGATCCAAATAGCTCAGAATCAAACGATTTCTCTACATTCAATACATTTTATTTCAAAACAATCTATCTACGAACTCATGTTTATAAAACGATACTGCATGCAGAACATATTTTGTTGCTGTTTTTGCAACACAAACTTTTTGAAGTTTGCTGTTCAAATCACAATGATAATACATAAAATCAATCATAAATGAAGTTCTAACAAAATAAATCCCTTATTCACTTAACACCAACATTTTTTGAGTCCCTTGTATACAGGACCTGTTCACAAGGTTATCTCTCTAAGTTAGTTATGTCCCTGATGATTTTATTGTTATTAAACGATGTAAAACAATGCAATGCAAATTCGTTAACGAAACTATTTTCTGATTTTGGTATGAAATTGTTAATTGTTTCGCGAACAATCAGACTTGAATAATACTTCTCGTTCAAAATCCTAATAATTTAATTTAACTTAATTGTTGCATAAAATTAAATGATGTTTAATCTATGCAGTTTGGAGAAACATGCATTTGTATAAAATGTATAGCCATGGAAATGCATCCAAAATTCTTCGCATCCTTTTAGGACATTTTAATAGAACATTACCCTCCTTTAGTATCAGATAAACATTCTCATGATATATGAATATTATATGGCGTGTCATCAAAATAAACGTCAGTAGTTTTCGCCTGTTCTGGTGCAGAAAACGCCTTGTTTGTTTTTGTCACTTCCAGATAAGGTGAACAAAGAGTTTCGTCGAATCGAGTTCAAGGTTGCAGGTGCGGGCGGGCCGGAAGCAAAGAGCGGCCGGCGAGAAAGGAACTATCTATTACTAAACTCCGATTGAAAAGTAAAGCAAATTGACAGCGATCGGCTGGGACTCGATCAGGAGCTTCTTGACAACTAAAATTGAATCGTTTATTTCAGAAACACGTCAAACACCAAAATATAAAACTCTCTTTAGTGACGGATTATTGTTCCAGGAGGTAGACATATCGTTTAGTGCATATTCATAAGATATATTTGTATTTATTAAATCCTTTAATAAACAAAATACTTTGAAACCTGAAAAATTGGGCGATTTCTTCTCAGTTTTCTCGAAATGAGGAATTTGGCGTTTGACGGCTTTCTGAAATAAACGATTCCATTTTCGATGAGATCCTATGAGGACAATCGCAATCAGTTCCTCCATATTTAACTCTGAGTAAAAGGAGAGATGGTGGTGCTGTACTGTATAAGTCGTAGGGATGGTGTGCGGAGGGCATCCAGCGTGGAGACGACGTTCGATGACAGTGGTGCGGAACGCTTGTGATTGGAAGGCGAACGAAACGAGGACACATCGGCGGGAGGCTCCGAGTCTGGGGCAGGCCAGGCAGGCAGCGCCTGGGGAGGGTGGGCGGAGGGAGACAAGGTCGCGCAGCTGCGAGGGCGGCGGATGAGGCGGGGGCGGCGGGGGGCGGGGCGGCGGGGGCGGGGGGGGGCGTGGGGCGTCGGGGGCGGGCGGGGGCGGGCGGGCGGGCGGGGGCGCGGGGGCGTGCGGGGGTGGCGGGGGGTGTGCGGAGGCGCGGGGGCGGCGGGGGGCGGCGGCGGGGGGCGGGGGCGGCGGGAGCGGCGGGGCGGCGGGGCGCGGGGGCGGAGGGGCGGCGGGGGCGGCGGGGGCGGCGGGGCGGCGGGGCGGCGGGGCGGCGGCGGGCGGCGGGGGCGGCGGGGGCGGCGGGGCGGCGGGGGCGGCGGGGCGGCGGGGCGGACGGGGGCGGCGGGGGCGGCGGCGGCGGCGGGGGCGGCGGGGGCGGCGCGGGGCGGCGGGGGCGGCGGGACGGGAAGCACAGGCGCGGGAGCGCGTGCGGAGTCCCGTTCTGCGCCGTTCCGCTCTCCTCCTCCGCCACTTAATTGCAGCTCCGCCGGCGCACTCGCGCGGCGCGAAAGCGCGCGGGGGCGGCGGGGGCGGCGGGGCGGCGGGGGCGGCGGGGCGGCGGGGCGACCGCCCCGTATTTCTGCGCTGCCGCCCCCGCAGAACGCCTCCTCGGAAACGAGACCGACCACGGTGCTCACACTCAATCTGGCACGAAAAATGCGCTAAGCAGCGTGCATTGTTGGTGATTGTTATCTCTAAGATTAAAGACCTGCTTTACAGGGTCAAGGTCGTTTGGGTTACATAACACACCAATTACCTCCACTGTAATGTATGTTTTAATTTTAAACAAGAAAAGAGGAACTTTTTTTTCACAATGTTGAAGCCAAATAAGAAAAACAAGAAAAAACGTTTCAAAGGTTGCACGGATGTGCCTGCACTATAAATGTTATCAGACTATACATTTGCTTACCGCATTGTGCATATGCTTTTCGTATCGTTACAAAATCACACTTGTACATAAAGAAATAAAACGAAAAATGCTGGATAAGAAAAAACTACCAGATGTCATTAAGATAAATTAGATACATAAAACTGCTCTCTCACTAACGAGTCAGTGCATCAACTAGGAATTTTATTTTAAAAAGCATAGTTAGAGAACATGCAAATCTTAAATCGACAGAAACTATAATTTAAGGACGGTTCCTGAATAACTGACATTAAGGAAAGGGCTATTTCTTATTCTTGAATTGGTGTTCAAACAGCGGTCTTGCGCTGGCACAAGGCAATGGCACAAGGGCTCAGCTGAAGAAGTGGGGAGGGGGAAAGCGGCGGAGATCCACCGGTCGATACCAGCTACGCTATCTTTTATGCTCAGCTGCGATAACATCCTATCCCCACGATCACAAGTGCAGGGGTTTAATTATAATTTATCGTATAATAATCAACGAAGCCTTCAACATGCAATTAACGCGTTTGGGAATAAAATGAATGTTTTTTTTAATAGTTACAAATATTTCTTTCCAGATAAAAAGCCTTATCAAGGAAACGTAAGAAACAAGAGAAAAATGAGGCAGAGTCTGACAAAAATACTGCCGAGTAAAACAAGAAATGAGAATTGAAGAAAATAGCTGGAACTAAATATAACATTATCGCGATATTCATATCTAAAAGACACTCGTGGTATTAACTCACTCGAGAGAATAAGAAGAAAGTGCGAAGTGGAAGCGGCTGAATTAAGAGGAAGCCGGAGAGTAAGGTTTGAAAGTGGGCGTCCGCATGTGGCTGCGCGGCTTCACCGGAAGAGGGCGGGAACTGAGGCTGAGGCAGAAGCAGAAGCAGAAGCAGGGTCAATGTCCCTCCGCCAGCAGCTGGTGTAGGCCTGTGGAGGCCATTGCAGACTTCCTCTTCCGCCGATCCGGAGGCGGTTTTGCAACCGAACGCTACAATATTCGCAGGACGGTTTAGTAAGTAAGTTATTACGTAAATGGTTCTCACAAAAGTATTAACTTTTG